TCCTAGTTGGCCAACGTTCCAGCAACGATTCAACTTTGTCGCGTGCGCTCTGCGTTGACCGAATCAAACCCAAATAATTGCTTAGTCCTGCTGATTCGAGCGCGACGTCGTGCAATTGATTTGACTAAACTAATCAACGTTGCGTCGCTACACTCATAGAGCTTTCGACTTGTTCGACGATGAAAATATTCACGAGGCAGCCGAACTAAGGAAAAATAAAATTAAGACGTTGTGTGAGACATTACGACCTCGAACTTGGATACCTCTTTCGTATCTTTCCCCTCTAGTATACAAAGAGCTTTATGTATTTAAGCTCTTGTTTCTGGACATTTATCGCTTCAACTTTGCAAACTGACAATTCAAATCCTATTTACAGATACAGCATAAAAAGCTCTGCTATATATCGTACAATTGAGATAACTCGTTTCGATAATTTTCCATTCATGCATTTAGAAAAGAACTCTTGAAAGGGAACGAAATTTCTAACAAAGTTCCAATAAAACGAAATGATCAATCCAATGTATATACATCTTATTGGATAAAATAAAAGGTTTTCGGCCATTTGATTTCCTAAATAATTGACCCTTCACAAATAGCAAAACTTTCAATTCCATCTCTTTCCATTTTACGTACTGTACGACCTTTGCGTCCTCGAGAATGAACTGCGAGAATCAATTTCTTCCACGTAGTAAATAATTCTTAGGCGTGTATCGAGAGAGTAGAAAAAAAGAAGGTGCGGGCGCACCCACGGACACTTTGATTTCTAGGTCGCAATGGGGTGCGGTGCGATGATGTGTACTTATGTACAACGAGATATTTGTGCTTTTATTGAACGATAACTTGAATTGGGATCGATATTTTCAGCAAATTGAACCTATTGCAACCTTACATCAATCATCGACAACTTTGTTCTCAATATTCCTAAAAAAAACGAAAATTCGGGAGATCTAATAGAGTAAAAATTGCTTGATTAAAATTTTCAAATAATCGGGGTGATTAAACTTGGTGCTCATGCCTCGGTGAATAATAAAGAAACATGATAGCTTTTGCCAGGCAGAGGCGCAAGGCTGTTCTGCTGCATCAGCAACATTTTTGAAACGCTCGCGATGAGCAGAATTTACTAGTCCAATTAAAATGATAGATTACGACAAGCTTCATTTTATGTTGTCAGGGTCACGCAAAGTATGCTGCGCGTCATGCTTTCCGACCGAATATTAAATTCAACCTATATCCTGTTAAAGCTCGAGTTGCCCAAAATCAACAAGTATAAATAACAGCAGTCATTAAAAGTTTACTCATTGCTCTAAAAAAGAAAAAAATTGTTCAGCAGCATAAGAAAAAGCTTTCAAATCGATACAAAAAAGAAATTGTATGATTTTTGTGCCAAACACTCCGTAATTACGAAAGCTCATGTAGCTATGATTCACTGGTCGAGCAATTGTAAAGATGAAATTATGAGACAGTTGGCAATGCGTTTAGCAAAGTATGGGAAGGAGAAGAAAAAGTGAATAAGTGAATAAATGCAAGACCGTTGTCGGTCTTGTCAGTAATTCAAAAGCGAGTTGAACGTCCATTAGCTAGACTCAACTTGGCTATTGGAGCTATTGGCTGCGTCGTACTTGCGAGTTCTATACAGCGTCAACTTTGTAAGTATTGTCGAACGCAAACATGTATCATTTACGAGCAAGCTTGCGCGCGTACAGTAAACTGCACGCGGTAAACGGCCAACATCCATTGAGGAAGCGCGTGAAAAAGGCTATAAAAAAAGACGCGTAGCATCAGCTGGCGATCGTGTACTAGGTAGGTTTGTTTTTTTGTGCGCGTAACTGTCGCGCGAAAACAGTTACTTTTTTATTCACCGTATATATACACCGGTGAGCAAAGTAAAAGAGAGCTTGGACAATGGGCCAAGCATGAATAATTCGCCGCAACGTCGTTGGCTGCAGAATACTCGAATCGCCGAGCTTGCGGTACATTTTGTCGAAACGCGTATACGCAGAGGAAGAGAGGGAGGGGGGCTCGCCGTCGACTATCGAGTTAGCTGCCGGCTGGATTCCGTAAACTCGATATTATGCCATCGACTTGCTCGCTGCTTCACTGCGTTGCCTATGGTATACAGTAGACTGGAATTAGCAAACAAGTTCTCTCTAGGCTGGATAATAGACTTTGTCCCTTAGACTATTGACGCACTAGAAGCCCAAAACATCCCTGTACAGCTGGATTGGACCACATGAATCGGATTTTCTACGATCGGCCACGATCAAACGGCAACAGCTCGCGAAGCCAAGTCGCGATCGACGCATGTGTTGCAGCTGCACCTATATTACGCGCTACTTTTGCAATTTGCTCCATCTCGCGCTCGCAGAGAGCTATATACCTTTGCCTCTGCATCGCCCGCTTATTTATAGATTGACAAATTGATATATTGTGAGCTGCGTGAGTAGCGCGGAACACCGTCAGCCGCAGTTATTTCTTGCTTCAGCACGACAACATTTTGATCCTTCAAACTTTCTTTCTTTCTTCTTTTTTCATTTTTTTTTTTTTTTGTTGCAGATAGTAGTCTGCTTTTTTCTCTTTGATGCTCAACGCGACCTACTGCAGGGCCACGCGCTTATTTTATGATCGAAAGGAAAATATTTGTGTAGTTTCGTATCGATTGAGAGTTCATTCACATCCTGCACTGCAACTTAAACGGTTCATTGTTAAAATTCATCAACCTTAGCTCGAAATTAATTTATATCATCAAGAATAAATCAAATCGATTCAAATGTTACAATCTGCTGGAACGAGCTTCCTATTACAATTTCATCAATTTTTCGAGCATCGAAATTTATTTAAGCACAAATTGATGGCTATTCGTGTGATCCATGCTCCGATGACTTTCAAGCATTCCGATCAATACACAAAGAAAATCGCCAATAATCTAGCCATACGCTTTCATCAAAGTTGACGTAAGCACTAATTGTCAGTACTGTCGCGTATTCAAAGTGAAAAGTGTCAATACACTATGAGCTCTTCGTGTCGTCGAACAGATCGATGCTGGAACGCGACGGGGAAAGTCACGACGTACACAAGTTACACTGTAACTCGTTAATCAGCACGAGCTTCGCTCGAACATATTGAAATAAAGCTAGTCAAGCTTGCGCGTTATAAGCCCTTGGCGCATTTTTTCGTACTAAGGAAATCGAAAAAACGTACTTAAATCTTGGCGTGATGCGTGTACACGCGTTATAGGTATTATTCGCCGGCGTGCTGATGTAATTTTCAGCAACGAACACGAACGTTTTCAATCGATGGAAATCTTATCTCGCGATATCTTCTACTTGGGATAAGTACTATCAACAACTAATTTATGTTCGATTCATACACCTGTGAAAATAATATGTTCAAGTTGAAGCGAAGTCAGCACACATATGCCGGCATTTTATTGCTTTTAACTTTACACAAAATTCTTCTTTCTATTTCATAAAGTAAAACCAAAAATTAATGATGAAAGTTTATTAAAACTACTGAATTGGTAACTTGTATGTGCATGAGCCGAGAATTATTTTCATTTCCGTTGAACACTAACGAAGTTGACTGGAAAAGGTAAAAACAGAGAGAGGAGCTTACGAGTTGATACGGTGCTGCAACAACGCCAGAGACGAGTTCGTTCGTTAGAGGAGCTGCTGGGCGCAGTGGCGGCGACACAGCCGCATCAGTTGTGGTAAATTTAGCGAAATCTCGTTCTACTGTGTCGCGCTGCAGCGGCTCGCAACTCTACATAATGATCAAGCGAATGGACAAGCAGAGAGACAGATCGCTGCTATACATTCGCGAGTCCTATGCTTGTATGTATTTATATTGCATAGTATGTATGTATGTGTGTGTGTGTGAAAGAAGAGAGATGTCCCCGCACTCACACCGATACTCTCCATGACCCGTACTCTCTGCACTCACACACACTCAAATTCGACCATTGTCTCTCTCAACTCGCATATTTTTTTACAGCTCTGGCGTACTGGACATTCGAACGGACATGAAGTTTACCAAGCTTGTTAAAGCGTAATCGTATCTTACCCGCAGATAGCTCCGATTCACCCTCTTCGAAAGCTCCGAGCAGTCGCAAGCTCAGCTCCGAGCTTCCAACACAAGCTGCCACTGCTTCTGCTCTCGTATGCGTGAGTCGCTTCGCGCATGCATGTATAAAAGCGCGCACCCACACACACTCGCGACGGGGGGATGATACGTGTAGAGCCTCTGGCCTGACTCGTACCGCACACTCCACGTATTGTCGTGCACTCCGCGACTCGAGTGTTTATTTGTCCTGACCGCTGCCGACTCTTTCGCGGCTCCCGTGGGAAAAAAGCTCCATCGCGAGTGGCTTTACTCTCGGCACTGCAGCGCTCGCTTTTGCAGCTTATTAAGGCCACGGCTTCTCTTTGTATTGGCGATTACCGATGAAAACTCACGTAAGAAACTCAAGCGCACTCACACACGCGCACCACACATTTACACATTCACAGCCGTGCGAATGGCCGAGACTCTGCCTTTAAGCCAGCTGTTGACGCGAGCTTGCGCCGGACTGACTCTCGTTAGCCGAGTCGCGCTTCGTCTTTCCTCGCGAGCTTTTCCAGAGGGAGCTTGCGACTGGATAAAATGCACAGGCTGCGCTACGCAGCGAACGATCAATCCTAGATGCGCAAGCGCCTGCAGCATACCAAACAGCCATGTGCCAACTTCCTCCTTCAATTTATTCTCTTTTCTTCGTAGTGAGACTTTTACTCTATCATGCATCACTTAAAACTGAAACTACTGCAAAAATTAGTCAAAACTCAAAATGTCCACATTTTTTCCATTCATTTCAATTCCATTCCAAAAAAAGTACAACGAAATTGGTATATGTTATAAAAGTTTATACTACCTATAATTAAATTACATCTGAGTCGACTTCAGTTATTAAAAAATCTACAACTAGTACATAAGATATTTTTTAGATCAAGTTCATTTTGCAGCATATTTAAAAATTTGGTAGAAAAATCCATGTACAAATTTAAAATTTATCAATCAACTGGAGAATATGTTGTTGCTGTTGTTCTCTCCACTCGACATCACCATCATCTCCAAGATTTCCTGCGTACTCTAATAAAAACAAAAAAACAAAAAATTAGTATGTGTCACGAAATTTTGCGAATTTGTAAATAAATTAAGAACCATACCTCGAACAATATTTCTGATTGTTTTTAAAGATGCCCTTCTTTGAGTGAGAATCTTGGTCACGCGTTGTTTGACAGTTTGTGTGCAACCGATGCATGCTTCTAGCAATATATAATCTACTAATTGCAGAGTAAATAAACCACCATTTAGTCTTTTCATTAACGTTTCTGTTTCATCATCGTCTTCCTAAAATGTTTTAATATCATTTTAATAAATTTATGTATTACACTATTGAAATTATTGTATATGTCATCAAATAAATATAAATACTTTTGAATTCTGCTCAACTTCTTCTACTTTTTCGAGGTATTTAAAGTGCAGTTCCATTAATCTGTCAATTTTTTCGTAATCATTTTCGGTAAATTTACTCAACAGTCTCTGTCTTTGTGTACCTTTGCAATTTCTTAACATACTAGCGATTATAGATACCACATGTTCTGAAATATAGAAAAATTAAAATTAATATGAAATTCAATTTCAATAATTTTGCTGAAATCAGTCTTATAAACCTTCGTGTTCTTCAGCAGTAACAACTTTTTTTCGATTTTTTGTTGGAGTTTTCATAAACAATGGAAATATTGTTCTTAACCCAAGAATATCAACGAATTTATTGCAATTATCTTTGCCATCTGGTCCATTCATTGCATAATCAAGCACTTTTAATGAACCATTGCGAGATAGTTTTTTTTCACGCAACATCAAATTCATGAGTTGCAATCCTTCCCCTTTGAGAAATCGTTCTCTATTAAGAGTTTCCATTAAACTAGAGCACAAAATGTCAAATAAATTTTCCATCAACTCCTGTTCTTCTGCACTTTGCGGGTCATGTCTTTTGTAGTACTGAAAAAAATATCAATTCTTTTAGAAAAAAATTAATTCAATAAAAATGTTTTATTAGTCAAACTCACAGCTAACTGTTGTAGAAGTACATCAATTCCATCCAAATCTCCCAAGAGAAGTCTATTTTCTTTGGTATTTTGTAAAAGAATTGACAATATTTCACTAGAGTATAATTTATTTGTATCAAATGGACCTTTCACTTTTATTCTCTTCAGAAGCCATTGAATAGCACCTTGTTTCCCAGCTTCTATACATAACTCTGGTCTAATTTCTAGCAAGCTTTCAAATATGGCTGCAATATATAAATGTTTCATTAAAAAAAAAAAAATAATCAAATAAAAGGAATATTTAAAAAATAAGTTTTACCTAATGTATTAAAAACTCCATCACTCTCTTCGCTTACAGACTCATCAAGTCTTTCTAAATTTTGTACAAGCAAAGCAAATAATTGTTGATACAGCAATGCATCAATTAGAGCATCAGCTTCCTCTGGTGCTTCATTATAAATATCTGAATCAACCAGCTCTTGTAATAAGTCAACAACACCAACAGCTATATCAGTATTTTCATGAGACAGTAATTCTATTAAAGATGGAACTACTCCTAAATCAACCATCTGTGGATACAACTCTGGATTTGTAGCAATAGCGTGCATTTCTTGTAATACATCATGAAGTTCAACCTCAGACTCCATAAATTTGTCTGGCTGATCAGGAAACTTCACCCTCATTTCTTGATTTCGTAAAGCTCTTTTTTCAAATAAAAGAATCATTCGCTTCAAAGATGTTTCATCTAATGGTTCAACTTCAGCAGCTTCAGTTTCAACGTATTTTACAATATCTTCTTTTTCTTCTTCAGTTAATTGTGGCTCTATAAAATCATTTTCTGGAGCTGGCAGTGCTGCTCTGCGTGGAGTTGGTGGTTCATTGGTATTTCTTAAAGGAGTACGAATAGGAGTTCTGTTTGGAGTTAAATCTGGTCTCCTCATACGTGGGTGATATGGAGTTCTATTAACTTTCTTTGCTCTTTTAGCATCCCACACATCTTCATCCTCTTCCTCATCATCAGCTGAACGTTTTGGAGTGCTTGGAGGCTAAACAAAATTACAAAGTATTTTGAAAATTTGAAATAAGATAAAATTTAACCTCTTAAAACACTTTTAAAATATATTAAAAAACTTACTTTATAAGACAGCAGTTCACCAATATCCATGTTTAACTTTTGATTTAGTATAAATGTATTTTAATACCACTAAAATACTGTTTAAAAGTATTTTTGTTTTTTAAGAATTTAAATGTCCAGTTTCGCAGGAAAATAATATTATTGGTGAAAGTTTGAGGTAAACTTTACAATTGAGACTTTTGAATGAACACACTTCGCCGCACGAAACTACGTACGTCACTGACAGTCGGAGCGACGATGTAGGATTTTACTGGCGTAGCTCAACATCACTGACGCGACACGGCTATCATTATATATATACAATATAGTATACTGCCTGTCAGAGAACACAGCTGGAGTGGAATATGAACTCATTGTATATTGAGCTTTTCAATACCCAAACAACGAAAAAGTACACGTCAGAAGTTCTATTATAGTTCAAAGTATTGATAAGTTTTTATTAAAAATATAAAATTGAAATTTTGGATAAAAAGTAAAGAAAAAATGGAGGTGTGCTATTATAAAACGAATTCTTATCTACAAGAAACACAAGATTTACTGAGCCATCTGGAAAAATCAAGTAACCTAAGTGCCGAAGATCGCGAAGAAATAGAACAGAAAATAAAAGAAAAATTTGAAAAAATCAACAGGTAATATATTAGAGATAGCTGTTACACTTTTCTTTCAAAAAGATTATTAAAAATCAATAATCAGTTGAAATAATCATTATAAATGATTAAAATATTAATGCACAAAATATTTTTTTCAGTAATTTTGACCAGTTGGATATTTTGGCCTCTAAAGTGCCATTAACAATGAGACAATCTGCTAAATTGAAAGTAGATCAATTAAAATATGATGCACGGCATCTATCAGCAGCTTTTGACTCTTGGAAATATATGAACTTTCAAAGACAGAGGGAAGCTAGCGAACGCGAAGAACTTTTATCTAGACAATTTACAACAAATGATCATGTTGACATAATGATAGATCATGTTGTACAACACAATACTAGTGTTAGAAATGCAGTTAATGGAGTGGATAATATGCTTGAACATGGAAGTGATATTCTTGACAATTTAAGATCACAAAGAACTACTTTGAGAGGTGCTCACAAACGTTTAATTGATATAGGTAATACTCTTGGCTTATCTAATACAACAATGAGGCTAATTGAACAAAGAGTGAAGTCAGACAGCTTTGTTTTCTTTGGTGGAATATTTGTTACTATTCTTGTTTTATTTATAGTTGTTTATTATTTCTTATGAACATTCCAATTAAAAATTAAGTTATGCCAAAGTAAAAAAAATTTATATCATGTACTATATTCAAAATTGAAATCTTCATTAACTTTTTTAGAAAACTAACACATCTATGTTGTATATTGGTTAAATTGTTATAATTATAATCTTTTAAGAAGTCAATTTGTAAATCGATTTGTAAAGGTATTATCTAAGCTAATGAAACATGTGTACAGAAAATGTTTGAACGTATTTTTTTATGCATCAAATTTAGAGGAAACTTCTTAGTTATTCAATTATATTTCTATTCCAATTATAACTGCTTATTAGCTTCAAATGAATTTAATTTCAATTAATTGATTTTTACTCAATACAAGGACTCAATCAGAATCTTCATTCTGACTGTTTTTGCCAACAAATAATTTAATCCATTAATTTTGATTGCATTGCGGATTAATATTATGTATAGTAAACTAGATATGAAGTAATTCATATGGAAAAAAGATATCTCCATATATTTTAACTCCTGTTTTCTTAGTTGTACAAATTGTCATATAATATGTGTACAATTATTTTCTGTAAATAAATTAATTTATTAAAAATTACACCCATCACTCCTCATGTAGGCTTACTTACAACCATTTAGTTGAAATCATTTTTTATCAAAGTTTTGGATAGATTTTTTCTCACCTTTTTCTCATATTTTTCAGAATCATAAAATTTTAGCGTTTTTCTAGTAAACATTGTGCGTGAAATCAGTTACTTTTTTCAACTTCTAAAGTGGGATTTTCCGTTGAAACTGACGAATAATTCGTTGCTGCCTTTGTACAAACAGTTTTGTGAATGTATTTACGAAAAATAAATGATTAGTTTTAGTCAAGTACTCGTTCCGAAAAATGGAAATTATTTTGTTGCCCTCGTTATATTCGGTCGACAATTGACAACCCGATTTCACGATACCCATCGCCCTAATCACCCATGTCGCGCACCAGTAATGTAATAATTCTCGAGTTTGATAAATGCTATAATACATTCGAAACTCGAAAATTACTTTCACTTTGTATAGTACTTATATTGAAATGATTCTCACAGCAAAAAAAAAATAGGTATAAGTATAGTTCAACGTGCAAATCAAAATGCACGATATTTTTTCTCTTTTCGGCGTTATTTGGAACCTCAAAGAATTAAGTATTTAATGCTAGCTTTGTATTCTTCTTACAATTTTACACAGAACAATATCTATATGAGTTATTATTACCCATTGTCGAATAAAATAATTTAAAAGCTAAACTTTTAGGACCTTTGAAATGTTAAATTTATTTTTATATAAATATGATGTCACAGGCCGCTCGGGTGGCGTCGGGTGGTTTCAGCGCGTAATCGGCTGTTTGAAAAACTAATTGCTATTTTTAAAAATATTCCAGGGTGATGGTGCATCAAAAAGTTACGTAAAAAACTTAATACGTTGGTACTCATAGATTTCATAAATATACTATGAATTCATGCAAATATATGGCCTATTATGAATTCCAAGGTGAGCCTTGGTATCTCCATTATACGAGTAAGCTGTATAACATGTATAAAACATAAAATACATATTCTCATAATGCCATTCTTAGGATACGCCGAAAATTGATCCGAAAAATAAGTTACCCCTCCACTCTCATCTGTGGACTTTGCTGGCTAAAACCACAAAACGTGCAACCATAGCATAGGTCGAGTTTCTTTTTTCTTTCTCTTTTGTAAACGCCGAGCTTGTGCGCGGCTCTTTCTCTGTCTTTCTCTCTCTCTCTCTCTCTCTTTTTCTGTCTCCCATCATCATCCCGCTTTTTTTTGTAAGTTCGCCTTCTCGTCGTGGACCCTCTCCCCCTTTACTACGCGATTCCCCTCTTCTTAGTTCTTGGGCTGCAAAAAGGAACGGCGACGGCGGCTGCGGGCTGTGCGGCGGCAACAACGTATATGCCGAGGTGAGCTGTTGCCGTTACCGCTGAAACTTGGGATATTGCGACTTGCGACTTGCAGAGAGGAGGCCCCCGAGCCCCGAGCGCTCGCTCGGCTCAGTTCAGTTTACCTGTGCCACCGATCGACGCTGGACCACGACGCTCTCCGCTCCTCGTGACGATCGGCTCGACGCGAACCACACCGACACGACTGGTACCTGGTCGCTTGGAATAGCTACGCGTTTTCTCGGCCCTGCAAGAGGATCGTCGGCTAGGCGTCGATTTCTAAATCAGCTCAGTGTTTGCAAAAAAGTCCGGTAGCCCTGGATGGGTTTGAATTCAGTCCACGTATCTAATCAGCTAGTCGTGACTAGATCCACACTCATCCAAGGATGTTGGACCAGCAGCGGGACGACGCTCCATGGAAAATCGGGCTGATTCGCGCGCCAAATCGACACGATTGCGTGCACCAGCGCAGCATCTCTAGAATCCGCGATAACACAACATTGTAAAGTCGAAATTAAATTATTTGCAGCGTTGGCAGGTTGTCGGGCAGAGGAGGAGGAGGAGGAGGAGGAGGAGCACGTATTTGCGTAATTTTGCAATGAGTGAAATGAGTCCTCGGAGCCACGAGGCGAAGCAGTTGGATTCGCTCACGCGGAGCTAGCGCGAGCTGTATAAAATCGGTGAATCGAAGAATTAATGGCCCCTTCGGATTCCTATGGGTTTCTTTGTGTCAGAACACCTGCCGCGTTCCTTTCCCCTCGTTCTCCTGTTATTTTCTCTTTCTCGCGTTTTCTTTCTTCGAGCCATGGTCCCGCGCGCGCGCTGCGACGTTCTCTCTGCTGCTGCTGCCAGCTCCTCGATTCTCGGGCTCTACTACTATATAGCTGCATGCGATGCGAGAAGAGAGGCAGTCGTATAGTCGCCGGAGCCCAAAGGGTCCTGGGCTGGTTTTTATTTTTCTCAAAGCGGCTCCCGCGCGCGCTCGGTGGTGTGCAGTCGGCTTGCGATACCCTATATACAGTACATAGGTGTATAGCTTGGCGATAATGCGCACGGATCTATGCGATCGCCTTATAGAGCGCGGCTGTATACAGCGCGGGCCTATATAATGCACGAGTAGTAGCTGTTTCTCTCTCCTCCATCTTTTCTCTCAACGGCGTCCTTTCTTTTTTCTATATGCACACGAGCATAATCCTTTCTATCTCTTTTTCCTCTCCTTCGAGTCCCAACGTTCCCCGAATAACGGTAAAAATTGTGCGAGCACCTCCGTATATACTAGAGTCGGAGTTTAGAAAGAGAAAGAGACCGGTGTAAATCTTAGCTCACAGCCGACTCTCTCCCTCCATTATATCATCGTAGATTTATACCCGTATTTTGCTCGCAACGCCAGCCTTTCGGTGGCTTGGTTTTACTTTTTCCTAACCGTACTCCTAATCTTACCTATGCCTATCCTAAATTACATGCGTATCTAACATTTTCAATAATTTATTTATTTCCTTTACATTTTACTATTTACCTGCAAGGTGTGCAAACGAAAAACGAACGCGTTTCAAACCAATGAACTTACAACGAAAAAATTTAACTCAACTGATCTTTCACAATTTCATGAGCGCTTTAGAATTATTCTTATTCAAATTTAAGGCATCTGAGCGTTGAATGTACAAGTACTAGTTCCGTTATTTTGAATAACAGATTAGACGCGAAGCCTAATTACGCGCGTATTCAATCTAATTTCTACGTGCTTATAAGATTTTATTGTTATTAACCTACCTATCACGGCTATATTAAATTGAACAAAATTTGAGCATATTAATTTATAATAAAATTTCATGAAAAAATATTTAAACTAATAACGACAAGATAGCCCTCGAATTATTCAGGCGAATTAATATACCCCCTCTCAAAATAAATATTAATCACAATACTAAGTAATCATCATGTTCAAGAGAATTGCACATAAAAAGTATATTTTCAGGAAAATTTTACATCCATTAATATTTATATACTACAGGCAAATGAAGTTGCACATAAAAGCACATTCATTATATTATATGTTTATCTTAAAATACAACTTGATCAAAACTGATGACATTAATTTGACCCATTTTAAGTAGTTATAGTTTTAATTATAAACAGCAATTCCTTCACTCTCTATAAATATCTTTACACATAATTAATTTCATGCTTAAAATATCTATACACTATATATTTTTATTGTAATGAAAAGTTCACTTTATCATTAAAAATCTAAGCCAAGTTTATGTACAATTTGTTACAATCATAAAAATACAAAAATTAATTTAATTGTATGATAATCTTAGAAATCATTTCAGTACAATCAAGTCTTTAATGAACAATAAATCAATTTGTTAAACTTTTGCACAATTGTTTTGCACTGTTATAATATTGACAATTTAATGAAGAAAAAAAAATATCAACAGATTTCAAATATGAAATTTAAAAATTTTCCCTGTAGTCATATTCTTGGCAACAAAATTTCATACAATGTTACTAATTATTAATATTTATTAAATTTAATTATCTGCCAGCTTTGGATTGCACATAACAGTTCATAATGATTATGAATGAAAAATGTAGTAACAGTATTGGAATGCAGATTATTTGAAAGAAAAATAATATTCTTGCACCTGAACCATGCAATTTATTTCTGATGTACAGTCATTTTTAAAGGCACGAATTAAATACTACTAATTTTCATGGCCATAATATGCTGGATTTGGTTGCATGTAAATTTCATACCAGAGCAAACGCGAGCGTGCTCCTCGATTCACATCCAAAAAATGCTACTCAATGGGACTCATTTCTTTGCATAGAATCCTGTCTCAACTTCCAGATAGTATAGTTTTTGTATTTTACACATAGAAAACTTTGTCACTTAAGCTATGCGTAGAGGCCTTTGATCAGAAGACAATTTTCCTAGCAATAAGCCTAGCATCTTCATTATATCAGGTATTCTGAGTCTGTTCAAGACTCAATTGAGCCATTCCTAATTTTTTATCAAATCCTGAATCATTACTTGTTTCTCTTTTTTTTTCAAGTACAAGTAAATCAGATTCATCCAGAGTTACTTTGATTTGTTGATGTAATTCAGCTGCAGTACGCTTGATGGCCATTTGACGATCTTTAATATTCATAGTACACTGTAGTAAGCCATTCCAAGGTGCTGCAGCATTGTGACCTAAGTAGAGTTCACGCCATAGTTCAATACTTACAGGAGCAACACTAGGCCAAATTATTCCAGGATTGGCCTCATATAAAGGATTTATATATTTTTCCAAAATATCTGGTTGATTCATATAAGACCACAGACTAGTAGTTAATTGAGGGATTTTCAAGCGATAACGCTCAGACTCAGAGTCACCTTCAATGCATAAAAAATTTATTAGATGAAAGTTTCACTTAATACTTGATCAGTAAAAATTAATTACCTAAAAATGTTCCGAAACTGGAATAATAAGCATTTTTGTAAAAATCAATTAATAATTCAGTTGTGTATTCAAAACTCAATTGAAATTGATAATGCAATTGATATAGACAGTCTAAAAATAGTACAAATGTTGGAGCGTCCTGTGAATTTTGACCATAAGTGTAATAAGCTCCATGTCGAGTCCTAGTGAAAAATGGATGCCCAGCTTGTAACCATTCTCTTTCAATAAGAGCTTGTAAACCTCTCACTGTTCTACAATCAGGATTTAAAATTATTTGTACTAAACTTGTTACTAATAAAGTTGTATCGCGTCCATGACCACCTGAAAAGTATTGGAGTGAATGATTTTTGAGTAAATTATGTAGAAAATTTTATGAAAATATTTTATACCATGCACCAGTACAGCAGTTTGCTCTTGTTCCAGACACTGAGCAGTAACACATGCTGCATTCATAGCATCTTGAACCGAAGTTAACCATTTACTATTATCTAATTTTGATAACCAATTAGATGTAGAACAATTCAAATCATTGCAAGCTTCAATAAGTTTAGAAAAACTTTCTGATAGTTCATAAGGGCGAGGAATAGCTTTGTGTGATTTTATCCATTGAGGGTAGGCTGCATCTATTTCAGTACCACCCCCTTTGGTTTTAGAATTCTGAGCTTGAGTTGAACTGCGGGTATCAACTATGACCCTAAAATTTTTTTTTTATCATAACAATTTTTTAAATTAAAATGTAGCAAAACCAAAAATTTTACCCTCTTTTGCCTGGTCTTAAATAGGCATTCAAAAGAATTTCATCGCCCCGACATCTTTTGCCTACTTGGCCACATAGAGGTTGACTACTTCTGATTAAAATACCCTATCAAAATAAATATTTTAATAATATGAATTTTTATATGATAACATTAATAAATAGTTTTGACATTACTCCTCCATCGTGTCTGTAACATAAGACAGGAAATCTTCCACTGTCCCTAAAATTAGCTGATGAGACAATTATTTCATCTTCTATATGTTTTGGTACTACGATCTCAGCAGAATAAGAACTGCAAACTTTATAATCTTTATTGATTTGACTGATTCTCCATTCATCACAGTGAGCAGTTACTAGATGAGACCATTCTGAATTTGGTTGAAATAATGTCCACCCATCTTCGAGTTGTACTTTAGAAATATTTAAAGATGTAGGTGTATAAAAAAATGGGTACTGGTAAGTTTGTCCTTAAACAAAAATAATAAATGATTAAATGTATAATTTTAAGATAATTTTTTAACAAACAACAAAAACTTTTAAATGGTTTATGACTTACCTAAGCAAGATAAATTTTCTATTGTTTCAGCAACTTTATGCAAGTGACTTACAGATGTAAACTCTAACTGATAGATGTTGAAATCTTTACATTTTAAGATAATATTGCCTCCTGGACTTTGATTATACAATTTTTTTTCCATAACATCGATATTTCTGTATAAAAGCTTTTGATAATTAAAAAATGATTATTATAGTAGATTCTGCCCTGATATTCTTTAGAAAATGAAAATGATGTATGATAAAGTAGACTTACCCATAACTCTTGTTGATTATCCTTTTGCCTATCCGAAATGATAAGATGATGACCACTTATACAAAGTGTACCTTCGATTTTATATTGTTTTGTGCGTTCTTTTGTTCTATTTATTAGAACAACATTGTCGACTCGAGGAATGGTTATCAAATCGATAAATTCCATTGTTTATTGAGTAATTGTCACGATTCACAAATGATCAAGTTTATTATAATTTGACACTTGTACATAACCTACTTTGCAATAAAATAAACTTGCTGCTATCTCTATTTCTTGCAGCTGATGTTTGTAACAAAGTCGTGTCAGTTGCACCGAGAGGAAAGTCTAAACAGCACTGACTGTCAAAACATGCTTCTTCATTATATGGTATTATAAAATTATTTGTTTTTGTTTTCGAAAAAATTTAAAGTATACATATTTGAATTGATATAAATTGTTATTCTCTATTTAAAGTATTTTATGCGTTCACACAGTGTACTGTGTTTTTTCGTGACGCATGCTCTTAGTCCTTGAATGGCACTGACAGGTTGAATATTGAGTTGTTGAAAGTTCGCTTTTCGCTGTAGCTGCGCCTGAACTAAAATTGTTACATTCATTCATGAATTATTATGAATCATTTATGGATACTGAAAATAAAACTATGAATTCATTGTTTCTTAGGATCCGCGAAGCTTTTTAAAAAAATAATCAGTGATAAATGAGTTCGAATTTTTTATTGTCACTTTTGGCATCATCGACATTCGAAAACGTATTTGGCGATACATTATTGCTACGAAGAGCGTAAATTCATTATCTTTTAGTAATAAAATTCGACTCATTTCGATCGAAGACCATAGAAAATACCTCAATTTTTTAATGCACTTTATTTATTATTTCGCTGATAATAAGTTTGATTTTTATTTGCATTTTTTTACTTAAAATTTCTTTGAATTTGTAAAAAATAAAAAGTAGACTAAAAGAAATGTTAATTAATATGTTTTTTTTAACTATCTGATTTCCCAGAAAAAAAAAATCGTACATGATCATAACAATCCTATTTTGGTCTCCATTTGGGCATGAATCTATCTTTGTAATCGGCGCAAGGGTAAAACTGTAAAAGCGATGTATGATTAAGAGGGAGCCACTGACGAGACTTGCGGATCGTGGACTGTGTTCTGACTTCTGAGTTGTGTAAAAGGTAAGTAACAGCTCAATACTCTTACTTTGTACTTTGTCTATCTACCAATTAAAAAAAATCTTTTTCACAGATTTAGTCACAAAATTTAAGGAAATGTCAGATATTAGAAAATAATGATTTGACTTGAGGTATGAAACATCATGTGGACCAATGATCTTTAACAATTTTTGAGTACTTGATTGGATGAATTAGGGATGCCATCTATTCATAGTAATTATACTTTTTTCAACTTGAGTATCTATTATTTAATTAGAACTGTTATCAATTCAATGAGCCGTTTAAATATTCAATGAATGTTTTTTTAAGTTTCTGTTTTATTAAACTATTTTGATGATGGGTGTCATTTGTACATTCTGTTTACTAATGTGCAATTCTCACAATAAGCATCTATTTTTATGCAATACTTTAATTAAGTACTGGTTAAATTCTTAAATTATTAAAAAAATTAAATTTTTCAAGCTCTTGTAGGAATTGTTAGTTATTGCAAAAACAATTTTATAGTAGTCTTTAATCTATTCATGAATAATTGAATCTATAACAGTCATTTTATTTTAAACAGTAGAGTGATACAAATAAGAAATCAATAAGTGAATTTTATCTTCATTACAGTTTTTTTGGGTTTTTGAATGAATTATTGAACCATAACATATATTATTCAATTCACAATTTGTTGGCATAACATACTTATATTCTAAAAGAATTTGTGAACATGCTTCTGAAAAGTCATTTATTAATATTGTTATTAAAAATGTTGTTAGTTTTATAGGTATCAATATCTTTATCAAATATTAATTGTTTACATCATGAGAAGGGTATTAAAAATGATGATAATTCTAGAACTCTTTAATCTACACTGGTATGGGTTAACATCGTTCGAATGGTGGAACGCTGGAATATTGTATGCTTATACATGTTCCACCATTCGATTCAATCGGACCACCGACCAGAATCGATGTTAACCCAGTGTATACTAAAGTGCCCCCTACATTGAAATAGCTACACTATTCAACAAACAGAGTCAGTACAGAATTTATTGCTTCTCTAATAATTTACAAAAATAATATATCTATCCTTATTTGTTCTGCATTATTTATTTTGATGATATTAATTAGTAACTGAGGATCTGAATGAAGTCTCAAAAAATCAATTTTTTTCAACAATTTGTTGGGGTAGGTTTATGATTAGTTCCTTTAAATCTATTTCAGGCCATGTATAAACTCTTTAAATAATTGTAAACATATTTTATCAAGGAATATAATAAACTTATGTTTCTTTTCAGGTAATACTGAAAGAAACTAAAGCATGGAATTGAATCAAGTAAATGAAAACAAGAGTGAAAAGAGTAGTTTAAATAAAATGGAAGCCTCCATCCAAGATAAGCAAGAAAGTAATGATAAAGAAATGAATCAAAATTCTAATAATATTGAACCAATGGAAGTCGAAGAGAACTCTGAACAAAGTGGAATCAAGAATGAAAATGAAGAAAAAATTCCAGAAAACGCAAATGAACAATTACTTAAAATTGAGAAAATTAATTTGAAACAAGAAAATTCACAAGAAGTAGAAAAGAAAAACACTCTTGATTGTAAAATTGATGCTTTTGATGAGAAAGATGTCAATTATCTAAAAGAGAATAATGTTTCTGTTTCTACTGAAAAAATTGCAAATATAGATTCCAAAGATATTAATCACAAACCAAAAATATCAGAGGTTGTGAATAGTAAAAATGATCCTTCAAAAAATGAAGTTGAAGCCTACAATAACATAGGTGAACAAGACGATTTGAAAAATGAAAAGATTGAACAAGAAAAAGTATCAAATTCAAGTAAAGATGATAGTTCATCAGAAGTAATTGAAAAAACAAATGTATCACCTAAAATTGAAAGTAGTACCTCTGTTATTGAAACTATAAGAAAAAGGAGAACTGCTACGTAAGTTATCTATATTTTTTGCCATGTGCAAGTTTACTGAAAAATCTATATAGAAACTTCTGAACAGTATACTGATGTAATTGGCTCTGAAAATGATCATTTGGTAATCTACAATGGTTATAATAAATAATTTCTGTTTTAGCAGCTGCAAGATTAAAGTTAAGGCAACCAAGACTCTAACAAAAGAATCCCATGATAGCACTGACAAGGTTGGAATAAATCAAAAACGTTTTGAGAAAGGTGATGCATACTGTTGGAGATGCCATAAAGAAGGAGTTGAAGCTCGATGCTCTAAATGCCCTCGTTCTTGGCATCGGCGATGTATGGGTGGAGCACCACCCCTTACTTGTGCAGACTGGGTATGTCCAGAATGCTTAAGTATAGAACGTGCTGATAATTGTGACACCCGATCTCCTGCAATGACTCTTGTTACCACAGACCAACTTTGTATGATGTTGAGACATGTTGTGTCAAGAATGCGTGACCAGGCAGGAGTAAGAAATTTTAAATTTTCAGATTGTATTCTTGTGAATTGCGCTTATGATCATAGTTTTAATTTTTAGTCTGAGCCTTTTTGTAAAGCTGTCAAAGAAGAAGAGGTTCCTACTTATTTAGACTATGTTGTCAAACCTATGGATTTGAGTTTACTTGAGTCTAATGTTCGAGCAAAAAAGTACAAAAGCACAGAGGGATTTATGGCCGATGCTAAATGGATTCAACACAATTGCATTGTCTTCAATACATGTTCGTTTATTTAAAAATTATATTTTTTGGGCAAACTAAATTAGTTTTAAGAATTACCTCAATAATTTAATTCTCTAGAAGAAAGATTTATGGTATAATATTGTTGTAACTTTCATTATATTTTCCAGGTTCATCAAAGTTAACAAATACAGCAAAACAAATACTTAAAGTGGCTCGTCAAGAAATTTGGGAAATAGAAGCTTGTCCAGATTGTTTTGCTCATGGCCGAAACTTACAGCGTCCTTTAGTTTCATGGTTCATAGAACCTTGCCAAAGACCTCATGCACTTGTTTGGGCAAAATTAAAAGGTTTTCCATTTTGGCCAGCCAAAGCTATGCCTCGAGTTAATAATCAGGGCCTTATTGATGTACGGTTTTTTGGAGAACATGATAGAGCTTGGGTATCTCCTAAAGATATATTTCTGTATTCCAAAGAATCCCCTGCCATTTTGGGTAAAAAGAAAAAAGAAGAAATGGAATTGGTTCTCAAAGAAGTTGAAGAGCACATAGGAAAGCTCGAACATGCATTTGGCGAATTTAAGTAAGTAATATTTTTTATATTAATAAAATATTTTGTTATTCTATTCAAAAACACACATTTTTAGGTATGCTGTTGGAAAAGTACCATATGATCCGCACAATGAGAATCAAATAAAAGCAATGTTACCTTATTATGACCCTGTGCTAAATAAACGTATTGATTCTGTGAAATCAGACGATTCAAAAACTAGGAATAGCAAAAAAGCGATGCTTTTACTCAAACAAAATATGTCACCAGTAGTAGTGACACAAAAAGTTGACAAAATGTTACCTATGAAACCTCAAGTAGCGCTTAGGAAAGAAGATAAAAAAATTGAACAGCAACCAGAAAAAGAATCGATAGTGCATACACGGAAAGTAGCATCATCGCCTGCTAAAAGGACGGAAACAGGAGATAATAAAAATGACAAAGAAATAACACCAAAACCAGGGGTGGATATCAAATCACGAATAGCAGTGAAACCTTTACCTTCGTTAAAACCGAATGGCACCATTGATCCTCATGATAGAACTGTAAAAGTGCAGACGCGAAAAAGGAAAATTGCAGAATTGAAAAATTCTACAGAAACTCCCAATAAAAAGATATCTACAACTTCTGATGCTGATACTCTAGTGGTCTCTCCAGCAGTTTCTTTGGCTCCTTCTCCTAAAAAGCTCAAGAATTCGCTACCTGAAACGAACTCCTCTGAAAACACTACAGATAATAGTTTAACTAATCCAGTTTCGTCTGTTGCTGCTGCTACCACAATATCAGAATCAAAGTCTGTGGTAAAAGTTAACAATGGTGAATCACAGCAAAAACGTACAGTTGCTGCTGTGCGAAGAATCGGTAGTACAGGACAAGTTAAGAAAATAAGAGTAAATCATGCCCTAAATCCAGAAGATCTTACAATTCTCAAAGTAACTGGTGGAAATATTAAAAGACGTAATATTATCCGAGCTACGCCAGCTGTCAACGATGTTTCAGACAAAAACAATTTGTACAAAACTGTTACAGTGACCGGTAGTGGAAAACCCAAAACTATATTTGTAAAAAAAAATTCATCGCTGCTAAGTCCTGGTAACTCGCCGAAACTCTTACTTAAAACCGCGGCTCATATTAGCGGTAAAAGACCAAACGAAAAAGAAACCGTCAAGGGGATGATCGTCCGTAAACAGTCTGTAGTGGAAAAAGACCCACTGAGTATTAGTAGTAAACCTATGACATCGATACCAGTCACCGGGAAAAAGGAAGGTAATTCGATAGTCTATTACACTTTTAAACCTCACGTTAAAGATAATAGTCCCAAACAGACACATGATAAAGAATCAAACAGTACGATCTCGGGCGTCAACGCAGACAATAAAAGTGATCAAGTTAAGGTAAATTTTTTGAATGGCTCAAATGTATTCATCATTCAATAGCTTAATACAATTCCTTTTTCATTAAATAGACTATAGGGTCAAGAAAAATTGCTAAAGCTCGTAAATCACTCACGACCAAATCAGTACGTGATTCAACTAGCTCTTCGCCAACAGCGGCTGCAATGAATCAGTCCCTTCAAATGTCAAAGACGGTAGTTTATGTTGCGGGGTCTCCTCAACTCACCAAAGAAAAATCCGATAGCATGAGCAAAGTGCCACCACCGGAAGCTGGACCAATATCAACTCGTTTACATAAATATTCAAAAGAATTGACTTCTAGGATCTCAGAAATGATCGTCAATTTGATTGAAGAAACGAGTGAGGCTAAAACCGGATTAGCTGATGATAATGAGGGAGTCATACACATTTTAAAACTAAAAATGGAGCGTTTAAAATGGTCCCATCAACAAGAAATCAACGATCTAAAACTTCAACATGGTTAGTAAAAAAATTGCGAGCTAAAATTTATGTATTTTCTATATTATTACTCTACCAACAATTTATGATTGCAGAACAAGTTGTTCGGGAGTTAAAATCCAATTTCGAAATTGAACGTTTTCGAACACTGCAAGATGCTCGTCGAGAAGCCGAAATCGAAAAGCTGCGTTGCATCGAAGAAACAAAACGCAAACAATGGTGTGTTGTTTGTGGGCGCGAAGCCATGTTCTATTGTTGTTGGAATACGGCTTATTGCGATTATCCTTGCCAGCAAAAGCACTGGAACACGCACTTGCACACGTGTGCTCAAAAGACTAATTCGCAAACTTTGTCTCCTCAACATCAAAGACCACAATCCGTCTCACCTCCACCTGTTGTAACGCAACCAATGCCCAAGCTTGTTATAAGCAGACCCCCACAACAGCAGGAACAACCTCAACCCCATCAAACACTTCTTGTCAAAAGGAACTAATTTGCAGTTATTGTAAAGTTACTTATTAATTATTTCCTAAATTGTATTTATTCGTAATTCTTATCAAGAAATTTAAGTATTTTTTAAGTTTCATAATGACTATAGTCATGCATATTTAATCTGTATATTTTGAGGCAGCGTCAGAGTGTTAGGCATTGTTGAATGGACACAAGTAGGTGCAATTTATTTAAGTAATTATAGCATGTGATTGTCTAAGTATTTTCATGTACGGTTTTAATGTACACCTCATACATAACTTGAAACTTTTGGAGTATATTTATAAATGATCAAAGATGATTCTGAAAATAGTCGTTGATAGTATTTTTATTGTGACAAATGAAATGAATCGATTTTTGAAATTGATCACGTTGATCAGCATGATCGCACTTAGCAATGCCGCTAAAATTTTTCAGGTAGAGCATTACTAGTTGTTGAGGTCAAATTTTTTGTTCTTATAAATAGCTTCTGTTGTGTTGAAATGGTTAAATTAATATTTGAGTCATCCCGTTAATCTTTAATTTGAAAAATTTACCAATTAAGCTTGTTATAGTTGATTTTTATTAATTGTATATTCTTTTCAAAAAGATGTACAAATTTTTTGATTTTTTTATGATAAAAAATATATCGATACTACGCCGATTTAAACGCGTAAATAATTGTTAATATATAAATGATCAGTGTTTTTATTTGAATCCATGTACTTTAATTTAATAACTTGTGGGTAAAAAATATTTGTGAGTCTAATTATATTGAATCGTTCAACTGTGAACAGTTTGAAAATAGGTTGAGAATAGTATGAAAATGCAAGTTTAATGTAGACTAGAAATGTAACTATCTATGATAGTTAATGTACAGTGTAGTTTCTCAATCTAAATTTTATAAGACATTTTCATGATTTTTCTAATAAAATATGTACACCATACAAAATTTTCGTATAGAAATTAAGATACCCACTGTATATTTTGGAATATGGTTAAATATGTGAAAATAATAAACTTTTTCAATGAACCTTTTAAGTTATTTTATTGTAATTTTTTTAGATGTTTTACTTTGCTTTCTTATTCTTAATCTTTCTTAAGTAAAATTCAAGTTCTTTGCCTTCCAGAATATAGCCATCTGAACGGCCACACTGTCCAGGTCTGCTCGCGATGCAAGCTAAAAAACAAAATGTAGGATTACATTACGAATTTGAGCTTTTATCTTAATTACTTTAATTCATTCATATCAATCATAATACACACCTAGAACTCTACCAGTAGCAAACTGATCTTCAAGTGCTGGTTCAACCTTAGCAACTCGTTGTCTAGCCTTGTATTTGGCCAAGCATTTCTTGGACCTTTTTTTGTTGAGGATTTCTTCCTCAGCTTCAGTCTGTTTAAAAGAGAGAAATTTTTTATAGTAAAATGTGTATGATGAAGTTTAAAGTTTATGTAGCATTTTTAACTTTGTCAGTACGCTGTGGGAATGTGTCAACATAGCACTCAGAGTAGGTAAGTTTGTCATCATTGAATAATAATATAAGTTAGAAGACATTTCAATTTTTTTAAAAATTCTTACCAATTTTGCTCCACGTTTACGTCCTAAAGGTAGGGCATAATGAGCCTCATACCATTGTCTGAATGGAGTTGCATCTATGGATACAATACAATTCTTGACAAGAGTTTTTGTTCTAACAAGTTCATTGTTAGATGCATTATAGACCACATCGATGATACGGGTCTTGCGAGCACGACCTTCTGAACCCCAGGCGAAGTTACCAGTGTCAAGGCGCAGAGCCCTGTATTTTTTGTTTCCACCGCGGGTGCGGACCTGTTACAAAGAAAACAAATGAATCAATTTCTTTGAAATATTAGTTTTAAAAATGTTCATTTTTTGTAATTCATCAGTACGCTGTGGGAAAATGTCTTCATGACACTCTGAGATTTATATGTATCATCATAATAAAATAAATAAATAAATAAATAATCAAATTTTCAAGTGCCAACTTACAGTGTGAATTCTTTGTGGCCCCAATTTTGTATTGGCAGCTGGACGTCCCAATTCGAACTTCCTCTTCTTGCGTACAAGAGGCCTTTTGCCTCCTGTCGCTCGCCTTTTGTGAAAATGATCTTGGGAAATTCCTAAAATATGAAAAATACCGCATTATAGATTCATCAGCTTATAGGCAGCCATTTTAACATAACCATAAACAACGATATTCTTATAACATGTGCAAGGATGCGTTGTAAACAAATCTATCCGGAAAAATGATTTTACATTTTCAACCAGACAAAATTTTGATTTGATCTATTTGATTAACACTAAAGAATGTAATATTAAACGCATAAATTTATATCCACGTTGTCGGCATGTGGCACGTTCACAATTTAACTATAACTTTCACGATCAGCAGTAAAATAAAAAATATTGAGATTAAATATAACACTAATTGACCAGTGAATAATTGACCAACCCTTAATGCATAAATAATTTGTTTCAACAACGATTTTGATGGATTTTTTTAATTCATATACAGCAGTCGCAACTTACCCATCGTGATCACCGAATAGGAAAGAGTGGATTCAGTGCAGGGTTAAGAACGACGGTAAAAGTAGTCCACAAGAGCGCGCTGCTGCAGGCTGCCTTCGCCTTTTCGAGGCTCGAGATTGGCAGTTTGACTGTTGGCACTATAAAATTAGGCAATGGCATGGTATGAGTGGGTCCTTTACTTCTTGCTTGTATATTTCAAACATTAAATGAATGGTTCACGTTATAAATGTGAAATCTTTATTAAAACAACCAACTTCCTTATGGAGTACCAATTCAGAGATTCTGAGATCAATTAGTTTTAATACCTACAGAATGTTTTTTAAGTAATTTGATTTTTCAGAAATTCCAATCAATCGAAAACAAGCCATAGATCAATCACGATTGAAATTCGATTTGTTACCGGCGCCAAAAAATGATTTCGAAAAGATGAAGCCTGCTCAATTAGTTTTAATATTTACACAATGCTTTATGAATAATTAATAAAAAAAAGATTATTTGAATATTACGAATCTAAATTGTAAGCGTTTTGAATTTTGCTTTATTTTCATACTAACAATATATTACATTTTAATATAAAGTTACATTCAAACATAAACATGATTAATGACAATTACTGCTGTATAATTACTTATATAATTTTGTATGCAATAAATACTTTTCGTGGTAAATTTACCGCAAATTTTAGGTAAATTAAAAAATTATTTATAAATTTATTAAAAGGAATGTTCTACATAGAAACTTCTAAAAGTTTTTCGTTACAAGTTAAAGTACAGATTCATTTTGATAGCTGACATTCACCATGCCTAGATATATTAATATCATCACAAATACGAACGATAGAGCTTCGTAATTTTTATATGAAACGGTTTGATGAAAAAATCTTGAATGTGATTGTCCTATATTTGATCCGTGCCACAAGTCTTTAAATCTCGCATAATTGAGTATAATTTTTTGTAATTATATTTTAAAATTATCTATAATTAAATTGTTGACGTTGATTGATTTACGAATTTTCTGTAAGAACAATTTTTTATCATTATTTGATGTTATTCAAGATTTATTTTTGAAGAACTAATATTGGGTACTTTATTATTTTTGGTAAGTCTTGATATCGACAAATGTATTTGTGACCTAGTCCATATGATGCATTTATCCTTGTCATTAGAATTTGTCCAGCATTTGCTGTATGCAATACTTTTGCAGCAGTAAATAACTTTTTCATAAAAAAAATAATACTTTAAATGAACTTTATCAGAAAAGATTATGAAAAGCTAAGTTTTACCTTTTCTCCTAGAGCAAATGGAACCACTTTATCATCTTCTGCATGTAAAATCATAATTGGACAATTAATTTTTCCTATGTGCTTGTCAGATTCAAAGCGCAATCCATTATAATAAAGAGGTTTCACAATAGCCCAATCAAACCATGGTAAATGCTTAAATATCTGGTAATCAAATTAGTTTTGTATATTTTATATCAGACAATTTTTATGTTATTTAATGTCCAAGAGCAAAAGAGCAAAAAATTATTGTTGACTTGTCAAATTTTCAAGAAGCACTAAATTTTACAAAATTCAAGTTTTGAAATTATATTTCAATCAAATTAAATAGCTGTTACTAATTGTTTATTGAAAATTTTGGTTGTTCAATTGTTAATAAAATCTTTAAATGGAAAATGATTCTTCAAATATAAAAGTACCTGAGCCAATGGATGCTCGCTTATTTCATCAGCAAGATTGTTGAATGGCGATTCCAAAATTAATCCAGCGGGACTAATTTTTTCACTTGCTAATATTGCAAGCACATGTGCAGAAACCCTAGGAAAATCATAATTTATACTCAGCTTACTAAGTGCATTGATTTTACATTTGAAACAAAATAAAAAACATAATCAAATCAAATAGTTTGGATGTCATACCCAGTTCCAAGAGAATGCCCCCAAACAAATACTGGTGCAGAATTATTTACAGTTTTTAATACCCATTCAACAATATATTTACTATCATTGACAACTCCCATTTCATCAGGATCAACATTATCGCTATCACCATAGCCTGTATAAAGTGCATTATAGATTAATCATTTGAATACAAATCATTAAACAAGCTGAAAAGTTATAGAACATTTTACTTCTGTAGTCGAAGCATATAACATGAAAATCAAGACTTTGAAATAATCTATACAGCTCTAGCCTGTGACTACTGGCTCTGTTACCACTGTTTCCATGCATATACAAAAATATTGGTCTGGTGGCATTTTTTAATAACTCCTCATAATTTTCTTTATCCTGCTGAATACTTTGATTTATTAATGACTGAGGTAACATTTGCCTTCAAAATTTTGAAAAATTGTTAAATTCATGAGTTTTTATGAAATCAGCCTAATTCATCATATTGCAGTCACAGAAACAGCATCTCTCTGTCGCACTCTTTTTCTTTTCAAAGTAAAAAACTTACCATACACCAATCTTTACGTTTTCATCAGTTACAAGATAGAAGTTTCTTGCACCTTTTATCCCAACAATATTAGGTTTCGAAAGGTCAATGCCTGGAGGCCAGTGAACTTAAAATTTTCAATCAACATTTATCATCGTTGAAATTTAATTTATGTAAAGAAAATATTTAGTCAATTTACCAAAATTTAAAAATAAAATTTTTTTTTGTACTTGAATCGAATATCGAAAAATTAATGGTAAAATTCCAAATATGATAATATACATCCAAATTGAAATTTTCAGAAGCCACAATGAAAACCTGTAATAGAATTAGAATGCTAAAATAGTTTCTAAAGTAATTTTTTTACATGGATACATGATGTTGAGTACTCTATTATGAAAAATACAGCCATTATTGACTTAAATTTGTTTATATGTTTTTTAAATTATTAAAAAATCCAAAAAAAAAATAAGTTAATGCAATATGAAGCATGGACACGATTGAATATTTAGAAAGACATTATAAACTTACTGCATGTCAAACCACAAATCTGTAATGATGGCAGGTGTCATTGCAATTATAAATTTGTATCTCAATTGCATTTTTTATTAGTTTGAATTAGTTATTTGTGTGACCAGCACCTTAAATTAAATTTAAAGTTAATGATTATTAACAATATTTAATATTATTGAATTTGTGCTCAATAACTAAATAAATCAATAAAAATGTTGATGTAAAAATAAGAAAAAAAAAAGTTTAAAGTCACAACAGTGAAAGTGATGAATATTACGAATTATGATATAATTCTTCAAATTATTTTTTACTAATACATTTTTAAAAATTGATTAATCAAGCGTTTATAAGTTGATGTCAAAATTATTAATTTATGACATAATTTTACCTTGCAATTACCATGGTCTTGAGGTTCGAATTAGATTAAATACTGAATGAAAATAAATTTTTGATTAGTTAGTATAATGATACAATATATTTATAATTAATAAATATAATTGTTCTCTTGATTGATTTTAATGCTAATCACAATTACTGTAAGTATCTCGAAAACTCGCAAATATTGCGTAAAAGAATAAGTTGAATGCCGTCAACTGGTTCAATAATAAAATAGCATGTTGACTGGCCTAAAAGCTTTGCTAGTAATGTTTTTTACTAACTTCATTCGAATATACCAATGCACGAGGATATTCTAAAGTTGCAATTGACGATTGACAAGTTGTCCTATCTTCTGTGTATGATATCGAAAACACGCACTTTTTCGCGTCAAACTCAAACTGCTCTGACAGTATGACACATCCTATGAAGCTACTACTTAGTTTATACTTAGCAAATTTTGTCGTCTGCTCTAGCAAATCGCCAAGCAGACGCATTTATGGAAGTTGAATTTTGACCATTGTGACTGCATCGAGAGACAAAACTTGAAAAGCACAAAAAACTTAATAGGAACAAGGACTCAATATTTTACGTTTCTTTACATGAAGTGGTCACTATGTCAAATTACAATGTTATTTTCCAAAATACTTGAAAATGATGTTTCAAAATATGTTTTTGTTTAATTGAGATATGAGGAGGTACAGTACGAGTTATTGGACTCTTGTGACATTATACTCTCGAAATTGTACGGAACGAGGTAGTACTGGTATTTCGGAATTCGGAAGTCACTACTAAATTACGATACACAGCCAGTTCTAACCTAGGATACTTGTAATATGAATAGACTACAATAATATTTGAATAGTTCGAATGCCTTTGGCCACTTGGGAAGTTTCCTGCTTTGTTCCTAAAACATTAAATTAATTTTAGAAAAAAAATTTTCACAATTGTCATTTTAAAAATTTTACAAGATGTCAAAAACTCGAAGAAGTTTATGTCCATTTGTTCCATGTGAAAAGTGTCAAGCTTTTTTCATGCAACGAGACCAAAAAATTCATAAACTCAATTGCCCACCTCAAGAGACATGGAGTCATAATTTTGTAAAAAATAACGTTTTCTACTGCAACATAGAGAATTTTACAGCTGAGGGTATTACATTTATTTAAAAATTTATTTATTCGAAGAAAAACATGTTCATTGCACTCATGATGATCTCTTGATTCCAGAACATCCTGACATAACTTATGAAAAATCACATGAAACTATTTTCTTATCTGTAAAAGTAATGGAGCTAGTCAAAATTTCTAAAGGAGAACCAGTAATAATTACTACTGCAGATAATAATGCTTTAGTTAAAAAAGCTTGGCCTGTAAATGATGACAATTTGATGTCTGCATTTTTAACAATAAGAGGTATGAGATAATTCTGAATTATTAATTTTTTAAATAGATCTAACTTTTAATTACATTTTAATAATATTTTAGCAATTGAGTTGAATCAAATAAAAGGATGTGTAACCATAGAAAAATTAAAATCTACTACATGCATAGCTAAAGAAATTATAGTGGAACCAATAGAAAAAAATCAAAGAGAAAAAATGTCACTAAAGTTAGAACATTCATTTCAAAGAAAAATGCACGAGCAAATTGTAGCCATTGGAAATCTAATACGAATTCCATATTATAGTAGTAATCTAATCTATAAAATTATTGATATCAAAGCTAATGACGTATTAGGAAGGAGGCTTGAAAAAGTGACATTATCAGATGAGAGTGAAAATAAATTTTACACTGTAAAATACTCAACCAAATGGATAATAACACAGATTTCCTCTGAACAAGAAATAACAAAACAAATTTCACCATCTCTCAAGTCTGTAGGTGGCTATTCTCATTTAATAAAAGAATTACAACAAGTGATTAGTATTGGTTTAAAGTGTGATATGAAAGCATTTAAATTTCATGTTAGTAGAGGAATTATTCTTCATGGACCACCAGGAGTTGGAAAATCTATGCTTTCGGAGGCTTTATTATCAGAATTTAATGCTCATATAACTAGAATAATCCCATCACATTTATACAATAACAATTTGAATGAAACAGAACTAGTTTTAAAGGATTTATTCAAAGAGGCCTTAAAAAATTCTCCATCTATTATTTATATAGAAGATATTGAAAATTTATGCCCGAAAAAAAGTACATCTTCATCGAATCATGAAAAAAAAATTTTGGCTAGTCTGGTGACTTTTTTTAATGATATTCAAATAAGTGAAAAAAACATAGTGATATTAGCGGTAACTTCTAAACTTGATGCAGTTGACAGTTTTTTGAGGAAACCTAGACTATTTGGAAAAGAATTCAAAATGTCAGTACCAACAAAAGAAATGAGGAAAGAAATTTTATTAAAATTAATTGAAACAATTCCAAATAGCTTGAATGAAGATGATATTGAACAAATTGCATCCGAAACACATGGATTTGTAGGAGCAGATCTAAGTTCCTTATGTTCAGAAGCTTGTTACAGGGTTTTGGGAACAGAAGTATGTTTCACAAGTGATAATTCTAATGATATTCTAGTGTCTAGAGATGATTTTATTCACGCTTTAACAGTTGTAAGCCCAATGGAAATGAAAGACTTTTCAATTGAAACACCTGAAGTAAGTTGGTCCGACATAGGTGGTCAAAGTGATTTAAAATTAAAACTTAGTCAGTCAGTCGATTGGCCGTTGAAGTATCCAAATGTTTTTACCAAATATGGAGTAAACCCACCACGAGGAGTATTAATGTTTGGGCCTCCAGGTTGTTCTAAAACAATGATTGCAAAAGCTCTTGCAACGGAGAGTAAATTGAACTTTCTTAATGTCAAGGTAATGTTTTATTATTAATTATTTTTTATATTTTCAAATAAAATAAACATTTTTTCCAGGGGCCAGAGTTATTTAATAAATATGTAGGAGAATCAGAGAAAAAAGTGAGAGAATTGTTTCAAAAAGCAAGGCAAGTAGCACCTTCTATTATCTTTATTGATGAAATTGATGCTCTTGGCGGTGAAAGAAGTTCATCATCAGAATCTGCTGGAGGTAGTGTGCAAGAGAGAGTATTGACGCAGTTGTTAACTGAGTTAGATGGCGTTACAGCCCTTGTAAATGTTACACTTGTTGCAGCTACAAATCGACCTGATAGAATAGATAAAGTATTAAAATTATATTTTTAAAAATAAAAAATGGTTATTGATAAGAATAATAATTTTTAATTGCTTTTAGGCTTTACTAAGACCTGGGCGATTTGATAGACTTATATACGTCCCTCTACCAAATAAAGAAGCCAGAATGGAAATATTCGAAATAATACTTCGCAAAATGGGCAAAATGGTATGCCCAAATGTTAAATTGGATGATTTAGTTGCACTTACAGAGGGGTATTCTGGAGCAGAAATACAAGCAATCTGTAACGAAGCTGGTTTAAAAGCTATGGTCGACAGTGGTAATCCTGCAGATGAGAATTATATTTCCAAACAAATTACAATGGAACACTTTAGACAAGCTTCATTAATTGTGATTCCAAGAACCCATGTAGACACATTGAAAATTTATGACGAATTTTTAAACAAACCTCGATATTAAGATAAATTATTTTTGATAAGTTAATTTTAAGACTGAAATGTTTTTTAAAAAAAATAAATAAAAAAAGAAAAAAGTTAAAAATTAATATTAAAAATTATTCTTAAGAATAATCCAGAAAGGCCGTTAGTTTTTTTTACCAGAAAATCCATATTGCAATCCAGTAATTGCAAATCGAATTGCATATTGTCGAAAACTATCATTCATTTGATTTCTGAAATTGAGTAATTTTGCATAATTTTCATACATTTTGTATACGACTGGATAAAATAGGTATTGAAATTGAGAAAAACTCTACGTTTACATTTGATATTGATGTATGTTTATAGTAAAACTTTATAATTAACTCGGTGATCCGTATCGATATGTTATGTAATAAATTCAAAATTCGTAAGGTCCGTGGCGGGAGTTTCAACGTAACGAGTTGTCACTTGTGAAAAATAGCGCAAGAGCACATTGAATAGAATCGAAGTCGATCGTTCGCTGTAAGCAGACGACAAATGAAAAATACCTACGAAAAATATCAACACGTGTTTTACTTACAGAGACAACTTGAAATGTCATTACTCTGATAAGTTACTCAATATCATAAATGGAGACTTTGTGGAATCAAAAAAACTTGAGAAGACCTCCCCATGCATCATGGAATGTGTCTCTAAATACTTTCAGTATGATAAACTTATTTAATATACCAAAATATTGTTTTTATTGCTTAATAAATCTATAAATCTAGTCATTTAGTTTCAGTATTAGATTATAAAAGTAATCAAATTATACATCATTCAACTGTGTTTTAATTAATTATTATTAATCATTTATTATGTTCATTATTTTTATTCTGAGTACTGCTATATAGTTATACATATTTTTTCTTCAGATTTTACTCAATATGTACAAACAATTGAAATTATTCAAAAAGAAATAAAAACTTTGAATCTTCTCAATACGGAAGGAGCAATATTAAGTCGATTGATTTATCGGATGAAAAGTAAATTTAGAAGTGACAAAGGATTAAAGAACATGGAAAAAGTGAACAAGGCACTATTAAATTATTTGAACATGTCTATAGAAAAAGATTATGAAATCTTGAAACAGTATGAAAAGATAAATGATAATGATGTCAGTTTACCTTCTCGTCAAAATTTAGAATATATTCTGATTAGATTGCAAGGTTTAGCCAAGCTCATGGGTCGTGTAGAATCAACTGCAACAACAGCTGCAATCTTTCTTAAATCTAGATTAGAATTGGGTCAATCATGGAATGTAGCTGTTATTTCATATGCTGTAATTAGTAGAATATGGTAAGTTAATTTTTTTATAAATTGAATTTGGAATTAAAGTACATTTATTCAAAATAACAATGTCAAATTACATTTTCAAAGATCAAAATATTTTTACTTGTTTAAAATGTTTATATTTTTAATTCCGTAGATCTAGTAAACTATAAATTATTGAAAATTTATTTGTTTTTTGTTTATATGGTTCCAGGATTCTATCACGATACTTTGTGAAAAAAATATGTATATGGTATGGTTACATTTATAGTTATTCAAAACAATTTGAACTAGTTGGCGATGCATGGCTACCAAATGAATATAATTTTCCAAAGAGTCTCTCTAAGTGGCTTGATTTTTCTTGGATTAATGAACCTATACAAAGGTAAGATTGTTGGTATAAATTTATTATCAAAAAGAAATTACTAAATTTAATAAAATTACAGTATTCCTTTACAAAATGATTTGTCAAAATCTCTTTATCACTTGATTAATGATGAAGCCGAAATCAAAGACGATGTTGAAGATATTGAAAAACTAATATCAGAAGAACCATCAGAAAAAGAAAGTACTGCGAATCAGAAATATTTACAAATGTTAGATTGTTCAAATTTTGGAGGTAAAGATTTGAAGAATTGATTTTTTACTGAGGAAATGTTATTTTAATATGACTTATTTAATATACTTTTAATTTTCAGAACAAACAACTAGAGATTTTTATACCTCAACTAATAGTAAAGATAATAATAAAAAGTTTATCTCAACACAGTTGAAAACTAACACAAAAGCAAAGAAAAAAATTAAAAAGTTCAATAAAGCAAAATAGAAAAATTAATGTAGATACATTATCAAAATCATTCAATTAGGTACTCATTGTAAAAATTTAAATTGCATTATTTATTATACATAAAATATTTTGTAATATTTTTTACAAAAAAAATAAAACTCTTGTAAAAAAATTAAACATAAAATTATTATGTTCATATAAATTTGAGTTCAAATCAGAATTCGCAATTCAAAATCATTTTCAATCTTGAACCCTTTGCAATTTTTTCGCAAATGACTGTCCATGTACTTGTGAATTTTGACGGGGTTCTGTACCCGGTCCCGATATCATAATATGTGTACAGGCAAGTTCGTTATTCGACTGGTATATTGCAGACAGTGTGTGGACCTGCAATTGTGTATATGTATACATCAGTCAAGTCGACGATTATACAGCAAAATAAGCGAAAATGTCGGCCATTCCTGAAGTACCGAAAGATAAAGCCCTCCAGGATTATAGGAAAAAACTCCTGGAGCATAAAGAAGTAGAGTCTCGTTTGAAGGAAAGTGAGTGAATTGATTTTCATGTAAAATATCTTTCAAAATGACATGAATCCGCTAAAAGTTTATTCCATAACCTAGTATGCCATTAGCAAGCTATTTGTATTTACAATCATTTTTATAATATAATCGTATTATTTTTTTTTTAAATATGTAAGACATTTATATAATACCTTTTAATTTGAGTTCTTCATGAATTTCTATTTCAGTGAGAGATCATTTAAAGGATCTAACTAAACAATATGACAAATCTGAGAATGACTTGAAAGCTCTACAAAGTGTTGGACAGGTACTCTTTTTACATTAAAGTTTTGAACTTTTTTTTATTGTAAATTTATCCAAAAGTATTAAGGTTTTAATTTGACTTCTAGATTGTTGGTGAAGTTCTGAAACAATTAACGGAAGAAAAATGTAAGAGTTTATACAATTTAAAAAGTTAAGTAAATAACTATCTTGTAATAATATATGTAAAAAATTTATTGTTTCATTAGTTATTGTCAAGGCAACTAATGGTCCTCGATATGTCGTTGGATGTAGGCGTCAATTAGATAAAAATAAGCTCAAGTCAGGAACCAGGGTCGCCCTTGACATGACAACCCTTACAATCATGCGCTACCTACCAAGAGAAGTAAGTTTGAGCTTTTTCAATTTACTGTTATGAATTTTTGATTTATTTACAAAAAAATAACATTTATAAATTATTTTAATTTTTTAGGTTGATCCATTAGTTTATAATATGTCTCATGAAGATCCTGGTGATGTTTCGTATTCTGAAATTGGTGGTCTAAGTGAACAGATTCGAGAACTGAGGGAAGTTATTGAATTGCCTTTGCTAAATCCAGAACTTTTCCAGAGAGTAGGAATCACTCCACCTAAAGGTTGTTTGTTGTATGGGCCTCCTGGTACAGGAAAAACATTACTTGCCAGAGCAGTTGCAAGTCAATTAGATGCAAACTTTTTAAAAGTTGTCTCAAGTGCTATCGTTGATAAGTACATTGGTGAATCTGCCAGATTAATCAGAGAAATGTTTAATTATGCAAGAGATCATCAACCTTGCATAATTTTCATGGATGAAATTGATGCTATTGGTTAGAATTTTATCTAATTAAATTTTGTACTTCATAAAAGTGTTGAGCTTCAAGCATTATTTCTTTTTTAATAGGTGGCCGAAGATTTTCTGAAGGAACCAGTGCTGATCGTGAAATTCAAAGAACATTAATGGAATTATTAAATCAAATGGATGGATTTGATTCTTTGGGACAAGTAAAAATGATTATGGCTACAAATAGACCTGACACTTTGGATCCTGCTTTATTGCGTCCTGGTCGTTTAGACAGAAAAATTGAAATTCCATTGCCTAATGAACAAGCTAGATTAGAAATTTTAAAAATTCATGCAAACCCGATTGCCAAGCATGGAGAGATTGGTATGATTGCATTCTATTTTACTTTAATAATCAAGCTTGAAAAATTATTATAAAAATTGAAAATTTTTTTGAAAATTAACTATGGATTTTTTTTAGACTACGAAGCTGTTGTCAAACTATCAGATGGATTCAATGGAGCAGATTTGAGAAATGTTTGTACAGAAGCTGGACTTTTTGCTATACGTTTAGAAAGAGAATATGTTATACAGGAAGATTTTATGAAAGCTGTTAGAAAGGTATCTGACAACAAAAAACTTGAATCAAAGTTGGATTACAAGCCTGTGTAAAATTATACCATTTAATCTTTAACTATCAAATATCTCTGTGCAAGCTGGAACTATATTTATGAATAATATTTGTAATAAGAAATCATTAAATAATTAATTAATTTTGATTTATTTTATTAGTCTTGCTTTTTTTTTCTCTTGATACTCTTGAACATTATCAAATTTTCTTTTGTACAGAACAGGTAACAATGTTGGTACATTTACATTATTTACATTATTCCACAATTTATTCAAGTTATTCATATCTTCACTTGACTGATCATCATAAATAAAGTGAGATTCTTGTAATTTAAAAATTTGAACTGTAGAATCTAACAAGATCCATAACTTATTTTCATAGACATGACATTCCATTGGTTCTGTATCTACTACAAGAGTATCTACAAAATCAACTTTAAGATCATTCATACCATTTGAAACTTTATAAATCAAAACATTATTACTACAGTAAAAGGTCAATATGATCAAAGATGCTTGATTAGAAATTTTTAATAATTGCATTATTTTAACTGGTGAAACAGTGACGTCAATATCTAGATCATTTTCTTTCAGAGTTTCGCTTAATTTAAGCAGATCATTTTTCAGAAGTTTCTCATGGAAACATGTAGTGAAAATTTTGTTTCCTTTTTTATAATCCCAAAACATTAACATTCCATCTCCACCACTAGAGATCATAATATCTTCATGGTGAGATATAATACCAACATTAGTTACAAAGTTTTTATGTCCCAAGCAATAGGATACTATGTTATAACAATTTGGATACATGGATATTCTAATCTTTTCATCTCGATCCGCTGATATAATATATTTTTGATCATTAGTTACAGCAATATCAAGTAACATGGATAAATGTCCAAACAATAGATGTCCATTTTGGCTGGGCGATGAAGTAGAAAATAAATAAACATCTCCAGATTTATCAGCAACCACTATGTCATTATTTGGAAGAAACTTTACACTGCTTGCCGCTCTGCTCATTGTTCGATTTGAGATCAACTCAAAATTATTTTTTCTATACAAGCAGAGTTGTTTTCGATTGGTGCATATAAAAAAATACTGCCCATCACTTGAGAATGACACACGAGTTAATGCGTGAAATGATTCGATATCTTCTCTATTATGAGCTTTTATTTCCTTTTCTCCTTCCAATTTTGGTAAAATAATAGCTTCGTCTTCTTTCGTCTCCAAATTGTAAACACTAACATTGTTACCCGAGCACATAACAATGACGGAATCATGTATGGCAAAACTCATCTTGGATATTTTTTAAAATTTATCTAAGTTATAATTATAAACTAGCAAGTAACGAAATCCAAGAGATAAGTAGATCACAGTGTTGTTGCAAACTATCTATATATGTAACAATTTTACGATTCAATTAGCAGACAGATTTTGACTGCTGCAGCTACTAACACGAACTAAAACATACTAGTATACTGCCATCCCAATTCCCATGTAACATGTCACATGTGGAATGTGGATGCGTAACCTAAAATAATCTACCGGTATTGTATCGTGTACAACTTCACTCGTTTCGGCCTGTGACTGACAGAGTTGTGTAAAAAGGTAGGCCAACTTTGTAAATGACAGTCACAATATGCTCTTTAATAACTGACTATCTTAAACGCTCGCGGCCTATCTGTTCACACAGCTTTGCGTGTATGTGTTCTCGGCATCGGCTTTTTTTCTCGACGTAAAGATCGAAAATATCTTAAATGTGAGTTAAATTTATCAAAAATCCATAGAAATTTGTATGATCCGCATGTTTTTAAGGAAATTATCGTTAGCCCAGTGGAACATAGAATTTAATCGAAGGGCGTTGAGTTGTAGTTTTTTTTGGATTGAGCTGAAGAATCAAGTGTTTAAGTGCTAATTGTTTTGAGAGAATCTGAATTAATATTTAAAAAGTTGTTTATTATTGATGTGAAAACCATATAGACTCTGAAGACTTGAATTTTTTTTCAATTTATTCTTGAATAATATGCATTGTTAATTATCATATGATATTCACTAACAATAACCTTTCTTCAATGTAAACATATTATGTCAAGTATCAATTTATGCTAAAAAGAGTTCAACTTTATAGCAAAATGTTGATGCCAAAGCAGAACAGGACTGCCATTTATGAAATGCTTTTCAAAGAGGGAGTCATGGTGGCCAAGAAAGATGTCCACCTGCCAAGCCACCCAGAATTGGAAGGCATTCCCAATTTGCATGTTATCAAAGCTATGCAGGTAATGTTTGATTCTTATAAATTGAAATGATATATTATTAACAAAAAAGAAAACTTATGATCTTAGTATATTTTTTGGATATTACAATAGTACATCATTTTTATACTTTAATTCTTTTTGTTTTTTTAGTCTATGAAGTCCCGTGGATATGTAAAAGAACAGTTTGCGTGGAGACATTACTACTGGTGCCTCACTAATGATGGTATTGAGTACTTGCGAGGTTTTCTGCATTTACCACCAGAAATTGTGCCTGCCACATTAAAAAGAAAGACAGCCCCAGAAGGTGCTCGTATGGGCAAACCTCCCATGGGACCAAGAGGAGATTCCTCCAGAACAGCAGAAGATCGCAGTGTTTATAGGAGAGGACCTGGAGTTGGAGGTGATAAGAAAATTGATGTTGGTGCTGGTGCTGGCAATTTGGAATTTATGGGAGGTTTTGGCAGAGGCAAAGCTCCACAATAAATTTAACTATTGCAACGTAATGAAAATCTGCGTTAATCATAATTTTATTTGGAGAAGACCAACTCTTCAATGTAAAAAAAAAAAATTAATTTTAATACATAAGTAATAAAATCATTTTATTATCAAAAGATAAAAAATTATTTATTTTAATTGTTCATCACTGATTTAGTAATAGTCATTGGCAACTCATTTTCAATTTTTTGACTGCAGATCAGAATTTTTTGAGTCTGTATTACTATTTAAAAAAAAAAAACATTAATAATATTATTTTTAAATTATACTATGTATATGTAACTATGTATTTTTCAATTATTGACATGTATATTCGATAAAAATTGCAAGATCCACTCCATCAATGGCTTGTGAGGCAGCCCCAAAAATCCAATTTTTATCGAAATCCTTGGAAAAATAGTTTTATTTATGATGAAAAAAGGTTTGCTGCTGATAATTGCGTTGCCTCGAATTATAAATCAGTTATTTAAGCGAGTAAACAATTATTGCAGTTCTTCTCAATTGGTTCCACAGCTAAAAAACACATATCTCCGAACAGAAAGGATTAATTTTATTTCTATTTATGTGATATATTCAACACGAAAATTCGTTTGTGAAAAAGTCACGAAAGTCAGCAGACCTGCTCCAAGAATTCCGTGCTTTACTGCAGGCTCCTATAGGACATATTTACAAGGAAAATTATCGCAAATTTTCATAAAAAAATTATAACTATATTGTAATGGTTTGAGAACAATTGTTTTCTATCTGAGGTAAATTAGTTGCAAATCATTTTATTTTATAATATAATTTTTCATAATTTATTCATTGTGTATTAGGAGTATGAACATTACTTCATTTCCAATACACTGTCATTTTTTCAATAAAAATACGCGAAACGTCCAACCAAATCTGCTGCAGTTGTAATTGTCTTTTTTGCTAATTTCCGAGTTCAAGTTTTGCTGTCCAGTTTTTCATCGGAAATAATTGTTCCTTTTCGATTCTAATTTTAGCGCTCAATGAAGGTCTTATGCTTCTTGTAATCACGCGATTTTTTTCAAATAAAATATTTTTATTTATAGTATTTTTCAAACAATTCCGTAAAAGTAATTTAGAGCTTCGTTTTGATACTTGTTGTTTTAATATTCTTAAGCAATTATTTTTATCTCTATTATTTTTGTCTGTAAAAATGTATAATGTTTCTCGAAAAGTTGAATTTCTTATCGCGATTAAGTAATTGATGAATTAAATTAATTTTTTTTATCATTGCCATTGATAATAGATTTTTTAATTATAAGTATTTAATTCAAGTGAAATCGATACAATTTTCACACAATGATTCAGATTCATTTCTTTATTATCGGCATCATTGTAATTGTTCATCGGTATCTTTAGTAACAGCTTTTGCTTATGTATCGCTCATTCATTGTCATCGTATGATTTGGACTGATTCTAAAAAAATGTTGCTCGATACAAGCACTAGATACAGATTATTTTTGTCGCGAAACTGAAATACTGCGCACTCCTGTACTTTTTCTCAATATTTGAATTTTGAAATATTGAATTTGGAAAAAAAAGTAAAATGAAAGATAAATCTAGTTTTGCAGTAAAGAATTTGTAATCGATGCCTTATGACAATCGGTGAATGGGTGTTATCGTCATAAGGACGAAGAATTGAAAAAGCTGCGAGGTTGTAGGCTCGCGCATAGATGATATATTTGACAGACTGCGGGTGGATTTGAAAAGTGGCTGTAGCTCGACTAGTAGCTCTTTTTCTCGTCGCTCTGTCTCTCTTTCTCTCTTTTACGCAATTCTGCGGGTTTATTAAAGTTTGCTGGAAGCAAATGAAACGAAGCCCATATAACCTACCTAATTTAGCTCGCGCGCGCGCGCCCACTCGAGCTCTCTCTCTCTCTATCGACAGCGGTTATTGCCTAACTGCCTACCTTATATATATAACGTACACACAGAAATGTGCAGAGTGGGTGGAGGGGCACACACATAGCGCTGAGCTCCGCCTAATATGCAAGCACAAGCCCGGCCCGCTCGTTTTCTCTTTGCTCTCTCTATCTCGCTCATTCACTCTTTCACTTGGAAATCTTTAATCCGTGCCCTTGCTCTCGCGTTTACGCTTCATTTCGACTGCTGCAACATCACGGATTCGAGCTGTATACACTACTCTTTTGGCTCTCTCTCATACTGTTCCACGCGCACGCCTGGATCATATATGGACTCAGTCAGCTACGCCGAGCTTTTTTATGATTTTTCATACCGATACAGGTCTGCAGCTTTGTCGAATACATTTGCATTAAAAGGCCTGATATTCGCATGTTACATGCACGAGCTAGACTATTTTCTCCTCTCTCTCTCTCTCTTGACTCAGCAATTAGATACACGTGAGTCTCTTTCGTTGTATTTGTTTTCAAAGGGTATTACAGTGCACTGCCTGCCTTTTTTTTAGTCTATTGTACTCGACTCTTGGTCTTTTCATTTCACGGTATTACACGATTGCCACTTTTAAAATTTCATTACTGCGCTATTTTCTTTGTTTTTTCATTCCAACGAGGCTCGAAGCGGCCTTTCGAATTAATACGACATTTCTGTAGACGTATATTAGAAAATGACTGAACCGAAGCGAAGGAAATTACTTGGAAAGTGTCGTATAGTTTTGGGCGTATAGGGCTCGTATGCATCAGTAGCCAAGAGCAGCGCAGTGCATGTGTCTCACACACGATCGCTGCGCGGGAAAGCCATTCACCTTCGAGCGGTAAAACTGAATGGCCACGAGATTAAGTTCATTGTATATGTAGCCCACTTAGCTGCGCGCGGCTACGTTCGCAAGCTCGCTCGCGACTCGTTAGTCATTAAACTATGGCAATAGCTTAACCGGAAATTGATTAAACTATCAAATTAGCTTTGGACCAATATCAAGTAAGGACTCGAGCAGAACATGCATAGTCAACATCAGAAATTCAACGATTAGAGAACGAGGAGAGAGACATGCTAGACAAGTCTGTTTACGGCCCTGTACCTACGCTTCAAATATCTCAACTTGCGATCGTCGAGCTTATAATATGCTACCCGTCCCATAAATTGGGCAAATTTTTGATTTTAATAAAGTCAGCTCGCTTATCGGAAAAATTATAATTGCGATTAGTATTTTTGAACGCGAAAGAATCTTTGAAAAAGGGCGCATGGGTTGGGTGCGGCGGCATAAATAAGTAAAAATTTGTTGGCATTGTTCAGAGCAAGATCCGATGCTTATTACACTAGCTGTAGCTTTTGAAATACACGCACTTATTATTCATATTATTACAGATAATAGACAGTAGAGTGAATTGCGTGGTATAATTATTATCGAAAGACCGTTTGAATCTGTTTCCTTCATTAGCGAGCTCTCGTTTCCCGCAGCAGCGCAGCGATCTATCTCATCGTTCAGTCGTTCTTTCTCCCATCGCGCTATACACCGTGCTCTGTACTCTTTCATATCACCTCTTGACTTCTCTCAACGCGCCCGACTATATAGCACACACACATAATATATATAAATACGCATTCACGATGCAGTGTGAAATTTTGCGCCGCTCTCAATTGTCCACCATTATCATAATTATACGCTATTACTGATAATATCAGACGCAGCGCGAGCGAGAACGAGAGAGAGAGAGATGAAATAAGCTTCGCTTAATCCATTTTCTATTTATAGAGCTTGCAGTCGGCTGCGATATATAGACTGTAAATGAATTGCCAAATGGACGTGCAGATGCTGCTGCTTCGCTAGCCATTAGAGAGGATGCGATTTATTTTTCTTTTGTATAAACCTCGTCACGATTCTGTACAGGCTTTATATATATTCCCTCCCTCGCAGCAAGTATATGGCAGCAGCTAACCAGCGCCACTTTGAAAGCTTCGTCGTTTTTCGAAAATACTCACACTTCCAGCGGCGGAGTTCGCGATTTATAGGCATTATATACATTCGCATTGTTTTATCTTTCGCAACTTTTCGACTTTTCTCGCGAAATTCGCGCCAAAAATATGTAAACTTTGTCGAAATAATTTCGTAAATCGATTACTTGATTCTACTTGTTTGAAAAGTCACGAGTTCGGTCGTTATTAAATTGCGTTTTTTTAAAGCACTGTTAACTTTTGAAATAACGACCCATCCAATCTCTGACGTAGATATTGTTCGAGAAGCAAAAAATCACATCGTCGATCGGGTATAATACTGGCAATCCCGTGTACAAGTACTCAGGCAGCAAATTGTATTTTACCTTACAAGCTCATGGTAGCCGTAACGCGACAAAGTTATATACGCTTAAGCTTATGTATGAAGTACTTTAACTGCTATGCGACTGGCATCAATATTATGCTGCGCGACTTCTGAGAACTATAATTAGAATACACCACAGGGTGGATCGCGTCTCTGGATTTGACAGTCAGCCCGAGCTTCACAGGCCAGACGTCGTCTCGTGCTTTCCCTAATAAATCCAAGGTTATGCTTTATTATTATATACTCATCTCGCTGTTAGCTACGAGAGAAAGGAAAATCTGCTACTGCTGCTGCTGCTGCTGGAGATGCCCATTATGATACTGCGCGTAATATCCATGGCTATAATGAATTTTCTTCCTTCTTACAAAGTAAATCATAGCTATGTATATTATATACGCTGGACAAAAAGCCGAGCCTGATGTTGGTAATGATTGCGGTGTCTGGGCTTGTTATTTCCTCCTCATTATTGTATTTAAGCTCGAGAACGTTTGTGATCGTTCAGATGGCAAAAATATTTTTAATAATGCAAATAGCATCTTTTTCTCAAAAGTTTCAGTATATATTCGCAAGTGAGCAATTTAGCCGTCGTTTGTTTTGGTTTTTGTTTTTATTTTGCACTTTTGATTCGATTGATACGCGTCTCGCGTGATTTTATGAATATTTGATTAACTAATTAACTATTCACTTGAGATTCGCAAGAATTAAAAAATATTTTGCTTCTTTCGTGGTGGTTGACGAATTTTTTTCAGTATAGCTGTGTTACATACACAGGTGCTCATAAAACATCCGCATCTATGAATTGGGCTATATACTA